TTTTATTAGAAAAAATAATAGAGTTAATAATAAAACACCGATGAAAAGAATAGCAACTGTTTAGAAATTTAGAAACTCTGTATCTATTCAGGCGAATTAAGGCCTGTGTCCATGACGCTAGTACATGGTCCAAGTTCTAATTCCGCGAAATATGTAGCCAATCAATATAGCTGTTCCACAAAAGCTGCAAGTTGATTGGCTACGCATTTCTCAAAACTAGAACTTGGACCAAGTACTAGCGTCATGGACACAGGCCTTAATTCGCCTGAATAGATACAGAGTTTCTAAATTTCTAAACAGTTGCTATTCTTTTCATCAGTGTTCTATTATGAACTCCATTATTTTTTCCAATAAAATCTTTAGTTTGATTGTTTAAGAAATATAACATTTTTAAATCAAAAACTAATACTAAAGCAACTAGTTTGTATAAATATCCGTTGTTATATTTGGCGCAATTTGTTGGTATCATTACTTTTGTAGAGAAGATAGTTTTGTAGAGAAGATATTTTTGTAGAGAATATACTTTTGCAAAAAAGATAGAGTAACAAAATATATTCGGTTGAATTGGAGCTTATACGTGGTGCTTCTTTACCTTTTTTTTAAAAGGTAAGTAGCGATAACACCGCCAAATTTTCCGGATGCCATGATGGCCCCGCGCGAATCGCAGGATCGTCTGCGCGCGCCGGTTCGAGATCTCTTCCCCTTGAGCAATGTTCTTGGCCTTCTGGGCTAACTCCCGCGGTTGTCGCCGCTCTCCATCGCCTCGGGCCATGAGATTTTCCACCCCGATCTCTACCCGGCATCGCGAATCGATTGTTCCGTGTGACAAACCAAATCGACGAGCAGTTCTAAGATTCGAAATATACGAAAGTCACGAAAGCATGATATTCGGGAACATCATTAAAATGTTTATTGAGATAAATATTACCACATGCTTCAATGGTCGAACTGGTGAAACGACCGCCTATAGTGAGTTTCAGATTTAAATCCTGGCTGAGATAATAGTTTATGCAATAAATTTCTGATAGTTTTAGTCGAATATTATGTGTCTGTTAAATTCTTTTATCTCTACTTTTTCCGAACGATTATCTAACGCTTGAAGGTAATGCGACATTTCATGCGTGTTTCTTTACACGTTTCGTTTCGAACAATTCAGCACACGTGGAGACATTGAATTACAATATCTGTCACGGTTTGGAAGTTATATAATAAGTCTATGAAGTTTCGTATCTGAAAAATTTGTTTTAATTTTTTTCTCTGAAACGGCAGGAAATACGATTGTAATCCTTGTGGCACAGTGTACGGTAGCTAGAGCTGAATCCAGCTCCATTTTTATTTTAGCCATAAAACAAAATGGTGGCGCTGACAAAAATGATTTTGTGATCTACAGCTTTGTGTTTAGTATAGGGTTTTTCAATAAGGGCGGGTCGATGTTGAAATGGAATAAAACAAGCTGTGTGTGAGGTATTAACGAAATTCGTTTTTTAAATAAATAAATAAATCTTTATTAACGGGATAACCCTTTAGTGTACAGTGTAAAAAAGAAGTGAAATAAAAGAAAAACATTACTATATAATAAAATTTCACAATAAAATAAGATAAAATAAAATAAAATAAGATGAAATAAAATAAAATTGGTTAGGCAATAATACAATATTACAATAAGATATAATAAAATAGATTCAGTTAGGTAATAAGATAAGACATTATATCGTAGCGAAGTCAATTATAATAAAATAAATTACAATACTCAAGGATTAGATCGACCAAGGCTGGCAGTTTTATTTTATTTTAAATTTTACCACGACGTTTCGGCCAGTAATACTGGTCCTTTTCAAGTGGATCCTATAGCTTGTGACAACGAAGCATAGGAAAATATAAAATTAGGCTAATCGTCATCGCACATAGAAATATACGCCTTCGCACGTGTCATGTCACCAAGAGACTTTATATTTTCCTATGCTTCGTTGTCAGAAGCTATAGGATCCACTTGAAAAGGACCAGTATTACTGGCCGAAACGTCGTGGTAAAATTTAAAATAAAATAAAACTGCCAGCCTTGGTCAATCTAATCTTGAGTATTGTGTTTTAATTACTGGCGATACAACAATTCTAAATTTGGTAAAATAAATTAGTTACGCTATATTAAATAAATTAAAATTGAGTAAATTAAAATGAAATTAAAATTCTTTGCGATGTAAAATAAAATATATTACAATATAATAAATACATAAATAAATAAAATAAAATTTTTATTTGAAAGGCCCATGTATGTCATTACATTATGTATGGAATATGACATCGTTCAAATGTCCGCCACGGCTTCTCACGGTGGCACGGATCCGAGTGGTCCAATTTTCAATGACTCTGCCGCATAGATCCGGTTGAATTTGAGCGATGGCATTGGATGAATGGCTATGTTAACAAGCACAATTGCCGTATATGGGACGACGCCAACCCACACGAGGTTCACCAGGTGGTAATTCATCCACAAAAAGTTATTGTTTAGTGCGGATTTTGGGCCGGCGGCGTCATTGGTCCGTACTTTTTTGAAAACGACGTTGGTGAGGCCATCACCGTCAACGGCGGGCGCTACAGAACGATGATAACCGATTTCTTTTGGCCCAAATTGAACGATATGGAGGTAGACCACATGTGGTTCCAGCAGGACGGCGGCGCTACGTGCCACACAGCGGACGCCACGATGGACATTCTGCATGAACGATTTGAGGGTATGGTTATCTCTCGCAGAGGTGACGTGAATTGGCCACCGAGATCGTGCGATTTGACCCCGCCAGACTTTTTCTTGTGGAGTTTCCTGAAGTCGCAGGTCTATGCCAATAAGCCGCTATCGACCGATGCCCTTAAAGTCAACCTAACCAGTGCCATCGCTCAAATTCAACCGGATCTATGCGGCAGAGTCATTGAAAATTGGACCACTCAGATCCGTGCCACAGTGAGAAGCCGCGGCGGACATTTGAACGATGTCATATTCCATACATAATGGCATGCATGGGCCTTCCAAATAGAAAAAGAATTTTGTTAATATCTCTCACACACAGCTTGTTTTATTCCATTTCAACATCGACCCGCCTTTATTGAAAAACCCATACGTGGTGTGTCTAAAAGTTCGGTGAATGGTCAAATATCTTGGTATTCAACGGTTGAACGAAGTCGCGAGCATGCTTAGGCATGCATTGACATGTCTAGACCTGTCCTCTATCGGGGTTTGCACGAGGCTGCTAAAGCAGTATTGTTGCATTCATTTCAAGAGAGTGTTCCGAGCTGTGTGCGTCGAAAAGCCATGGATCAACGATTTAACATTAAGTTCTGCTTCAAATTGGGTAAAACGGCGACGGAAACCCAAACACACACACAATTGTTAAAAAAAAAATTTTTTATAACTTGTTACAAAATTGTGTTTTCTTTACACCGGTTGATTTGTCTCATTATTCTGTTCAAGAAAGTATTAAGGTAAGATGATAAAAAAATGAATATTTTACAAGATATTTTGTAATTTATGTCAAAATATTGGAACTTTCAAACCTTAATAACTCAAAAAGTTCGTAATAAAAAAATACTTTATTATAGCGTTTTGGACAGCTCTCGAGGACAGCAACAAGAATATGTAATAAAAAATAGGGGATGCCATTTAAAAAAATAGGTTTGACCTTTATGTAACCTTCAAATAATTCTTAAAGGTCAAACCAATGACACCATCTTATGTCCCCCTTGAAACCAAACAACTTTTGCCTGAAACATTTTTCTCTAAACTCAATAGCGTTTGAAATATTCGCCTGGCTAGATTAAAATGAAACACCCTGTATACACGATACATGAGGTGAATCAGAGTGGTTGTTACAACTTTTTACCATAAGAGATGTATTACCGACCTCAACTGTAGCTAACCGAGCGGTTCATAGATGTTAGTTGCAGAGATCGAGCTGCTGTACAGGCAAATTAAAAACTGAATAAAATAATTGGTTGCGTGCTATGCACACATACGTTTCTGATAAATAATATGTATTAGATGGTAAACTTAGTGTTGTTTTTTGTTTAACAAACTCATTTATTTCGATATCAAAAGCAAAAAATACATCAATCAAAGTATTTGCCCTCGCTAGCTATACATTTTTCCCATCTTTCTGGTAATGAGTGGATTCCGCAACGATAGAACGATTGGTCTTTTGATGCAATCCATTTGTAATGAGTACGAAACCCCCTCATTGCAACACGGGTGTAACGCACGCAACAGAGTATCAAATAACTGCCGCGTGCGAAGAAGGAAGTAGACGATGGGACATTAACCCATCGGAACCGAGTCGGCAGTGCTGACGAAGCCACTACTGACTAGCTTAGAACCGACCTGACGACAGGCCCGAATAAACGGCTTGACAACAGCCGACTATAAAAACAAATGGAAAGAAGGTAGGGCGGGTCATTTTTAAGTAAACCACACGAGTGTACGTATCTATATCAAAACTTTAATAAAGAGATTGATTAAAATAATGGCTTATGGCCTTTGATAAACCGCGAGGTATCTCTATGGCAACGATCCCCAAGATTTCGTGCTCCGACCCAGTCGGCGGCACAACAAATGGTGGCAGCGGTGGGATTGCCATTGACTGCACTCGCGTGCGCAGAGAGGACCAAGGCCTGAAACCAAGAGAATCGAAGAAACCATTAATCAGTGATTGCAAGGAACCAAAGAGAACCCCGAGGCAACATTGAAATAAGTTGACAAAGACACCCGGTAGCAGCGGAGGACTAGAGACGGCACAACGATCTTCACGACGACGGCCCGACCAGCCCCGCCAGCAGACGCTAGCAGCGCAACCGGAGACGGCACCGACTCACCGCGCGGAGATCAGCTCAACCCGAGACGGCACTGACCTACCGCACGACGAGCAGCCAAGCAGTCAGGACAGCGGACGACAACATGCAGCGTTTCATCGTAGCGTGAATCCGCACTCATTTATACTTAAGCGCGAACATGACCTGCGAGTCATGTCACCAATTGCGTAATAAATAGCGCATTATCCGCGAATGTCCCAGAACGGACAACCTCGCGAAACGTTGACCCCCGGTAACTCGCCGTTACCGTTAAATACGCATACATCGGACGCCGAAGAAACTTCCGCGATACAATACGCCGCGGATGCCAAGACACATACGTGATATTTCGCGCCGCGTGCTTAACCTTACCCGATCGAGTGGCGATAGCGAGGCAAGCCCTCCAACCAACATTATAATCGACCGAGAATTTCCGTTCGACCCCAGCGACTTCAACTTACTCGCACATAATACTTCCGACCCCGCGAATAGCGTAGGTACTAGTAGACCCCGACACCCTCGACGTACGAACACAATTTTCGACACCCCGACGTCAAGACACCGACTTGATTTCAATCACGTTCTACGTACCTTATCGAACGCCATGGCACACCCAATTGCCGGCACATCCAGAGATACCTTGCCGAACGCCATGACGCAACCAATCGCCAGTACGTCCAGTGCCATCTTGGCAGAACCGCCTAACTCCGATATTGACGCAGATTCAACGCCTACACCAATCGCTGGAAAACGCACACGCGAGCCCGCTCAATAGCAGAAGGGTCACCTTCAACGAGTCCCCTAGGGAAGGGGCCATGTTACATGCGAACTATTAGAAATACGCGAACTACGCATTAAAGTGAACGGACTAGAACGGGAAGAGCCCCCGCGGTCGGGAGAGCAACGAAGAGACTCTCATTCCACGAACACGCGCTAGACTTGACATACGGTAGATCAACGAGTGATATCCGGAACCAACGCGGATCGACAGTCAGTTTCCTGTCGTTAAAGGAAGCGCGGGGCATAATACCCGAGATCGACGGTAATTCGGCAAACCGCGTTCGAGAATTCTTAAACGCGAGCTCGTACGCGATGAAAAACATACACCCGGCCGACGAACACACATTACTAGAGGCCATATTATGCACCAAGTTCAAAGGAAAGGCAAGGATAGACTTCCACACAAGAACAATAGAAAACTACGAGCAGTTGAAACGCGAATTAGAACGCGAATATTTATGCAAACGTAGTACGGCTCATTTACAATTGGAGTTCAACTCACTCCGACAAAAACATTTAGAGAACGCGCAAGCTTTCGGTAGACGCGTAGAAGTCTTGGCCATGGAGTTATATGAAGCCATGGAAGACGGGAAAGTCCACACAGTAGACCAACAGCGAGCCATTCTAGAGAGCATAAAGGAACAAGCACTCTGCAACTTTCAAATAGGCCTGCCCGAAGAGATCAGAGTGTTAGTACGATCGCAGCATTACAGCACATTACAAGAAGCGATTGCCGGCGCTAGCGCCGAGGAAAAAGTTAAAGGCCCGAGCGCCCGGCAGAGCTCGTACCGACTCCTAGCGAGAACAGTACCGCAAAATACCCCGCCGATCCTGGAATCACATGCCAGAAATGCGGAAAAAGAGGGCATTACGGACGTGACTGCCGAAGTAGCCGATACGCTAATAAATTCTCCTTGCCGAAACCGGAGGGACGCCCGCGAATTAACACGGTAGAAAAGTATTGCAACCACTGCAAAAAGGCAGGGCATGCACGCAGCGAATGCTGGTCACTGCACGGACGGCACGAGCGACGAAACTCGACGCGCCGCGACAGCGATAACGGAACCAGACATACACGCGCCCAGGGTACGGACAAACGAGACGCGAATACTAAGGCGATAAAAAATATAGAGTCACATAGTAACGACGAAGAAGACCAGACCAAAAAGGTTAAGAAAAATGCTGCCGCCTATCGTGTGACTCACGTCAAGGCACACCGTAAGGCCGATGTTGGCCTGGATTTAATCTCCCTGCCCACTCAAGAAGCCAAGAAAGGGAAGATAGAATTTCTTTTCGACACAGGAGCTACCGTTTCTCTAATTAAATTGAAGGTATTAAAGGACGAAGCCGAATTTTACGAGGAACAGGTTAAACTACTCGGAATAACCGGACATTCCATTGTTACCCTCGGGAAGACGTACCTGAGAATTAAACTGTCCGACGGAGAAATCAAACACCCTGTATACGTTGTAAAAGACGACGTCCCGATAAATTATGACGGAATACTAGGAATAGATTTCATCCGGAAAAATGGAGCCATTTGCGATTACAACGCGAGAAGAGTAGATATCCAAAGGACCACCTTTAAGCTATACCCGTACAAGTGCATCGTATTACAGCCACGGAGCGAGACGATAGTGCACGTCACGACAGATCGAAATTCGACCGGCATAACGCGACGAGACGAGACCGCGCCCGGCGTTTTTATTGGAAATTACTTAGTAGAACCTAAAAACTTTAGCTGCCCAATAAGTATCATAAATACTAATGAGAAAGAGGTAAAAATACAACTACCGCTAGTGATCGTAGACAACATAGTGGATAGTTCACGCGATGACGTAAACGTTGAATGCGTAAATTCCGCTATAACTGAAGAACATAGGGAAGAAAAAATTTCCCTCCCGCGCGAAGACCGCATAACTAAGTTACTACGCCTAAAACGCTTAAATAAAAAAGAAAAAGAAACCTTGACAAAAATATGCGAAGAGTACGCAGACATCTTCCACCTAGAGGGAGATACGCTGACGCACACAACTCGCGTAGAGCACGAGATAATAACACAAGTAAATTCGCCAAGCATAAACATGAGACCTTACCGACTCCCAGAAAAGCATAAGGCCGAAGTCAATCGCCAGATCACGGAGATGATGCAACAGGAAATTATCCAACCGAGTACGAGCCAATGGAACGCACCCCTCTTGGTAGTATCGAAGGAAGCAGACGCCTCCGGAAAACCGAAACTGCGAAGTGTAATAGACTTCCGTAAATTAAACGACCTAACGATAGGAGATTCCTTTCCTCTTCCGAATATTATTATTATTATGTTTATTGCTTTGCCATATACAATAAGGTGTTTGACAAACAATACAAGCAAAAGGTAGTGCACCAGCAAAAATAGCTGCTATGAAGCCTACCCAATAAAACAAGATATATATAGTATATAGAAATATAAAATGAAAGGTTTATGGTTTAACGCAAAATCAAATTTCTACAGTTTACAATGTATAGTTCATGACGGTTTGATATCTCTGAATACTTTGATTATTGAATCGCATCTAGCCTCGTTTCGTTAAGCTTCTAGATGGTGAGCAATAAATGAAGCCGCTGCCAGTCGAAAAGAGGAGAGAGAGGGTGAAGATATAATGGAAGGAGAAAGTTGGTTGTAATATTTTACTGCGGTATAGGAAAAAGCAGCTTGAAATTTAGACGTACGATGAGTAGGAA